CTGACACTTCTATTATAGAGAAAGGGCAAATAGCAATATTAAATTATTTCCTCTAATTAATTCCCTTTTAATGTGCATGAATTTTGTGTACTGGGCCACTAGTTTTTTATATAACAACAGTAGATACTAACAGTAGCAATAATAAGTGTGGTTTTCAGGTGTGCCTGCACTATAGGCAAATTGTTCTTAGAAAATCTCTAGTTCCGTATCTGGAAAGGATATATCACTAGTTGTACCTCTCCACAGTCTGAGTGTTGGCAGCTCATTTTCCAACCACAACACTCAGTCTTTCCAGATCACTCTCTCAGGTAACATAACTTCAGCAATTATTCAGCCACATCAGGCCCTCTAATACATTAGCCCATCCGTGGTTTTCATCCTGCTCCATTCTTCCACCTCCTTACATTTCTCCTTGCCTGGCTTTGACCTGTGGTCTGTCATTCTAATCAGCACATTGCACATACCTCTCCTCATTCTTCTGTATTCCCCTGGCAAAACCCTGATTCTCAACTTACAGGTGTCCCTGAGCAACTACCAGACCATGACTAAAGAAAAACATAAAACCATACTGCCTTATTTCCCTGAAAGTTCGTGTACACAACTGGTTATCCTTTTATTCATTTACCTTTTGAAAAATATATTACAGTGATATCTAACTGCTGAAGTTTTGGATTACTTAACTATTCAAGTTTATTATTGAAAGAATTTGTTCTCTAGTTTTGGTATTAACTGACCTTTAAACATTTGCTTTGACCTAGGTAATTGCCTATGGAAGGAATAGCAAACAGACTTTGTAGATGCTGGATTCATTATTTTGTTAGCACAGATTAGATTAAATGTTCAGATTTTGATTTTTGTTTGGAGGTTTTAATTTCTTAGTTAAATTTGGTGTTTGCTTCATCTCATAAGTTTTGAAAAGTATTTTCACTATTTGGTTCTAAATAATTTCTAATTTCCATTTATATGTTTCATTTTTCTAGTTATTTTTTTTTTTTTTTGTCATTGATTGTTTTTTAATCTGTGTGGTTGTCTTGTGACCAGAGCATGTGGTCTACATGATGCATACTCTTTGACCCCACCAGGCACTTACTTTTGAGGGTCTTTGCTTTTGCTTCCTTGCATGGACAGCTCTTTCCCAGGTATTTGTAGTGCTTACTGATTTGTTCAGGCCTTGATTCAAGTATCACCTTCTCAGTGAGACCTTCCCTGGCCATCTACCTAAAATTTCACACACCCTCTTCCACTTCGTATTGCTCTTCCCTGTCTTATTTTACCCCTTAGCATTTAGCACTTTCTAATATTATCCAACATGTTCCAAGCAAATAGAGAAAAAAGTAAAGACATTAAGGGATGTGTACCTGGACACAGAAACAAAAGAAATATAAGCTGTACGAGAAAGGAAAGGTTGAGTAACTGGACTTTGTCTGCAGTGAAGTTGAAGAGTAGTGTAGCGTGGATAAGACTGACACCGCTGGGAAGTTAGGGTTGTGGGCAGAGTGTGGCTTTAATTTAAGATTTAAGAGGTTATTTATTAGATGAGTTCCAAACGATGGTGAATCAGGGTAGGGGCAGGGTTACTTATATAGAATATGGGTGGACGGGTATAGGAGGAACATGAATGAAGAAATTTTAAAGATGGGTTTTGAAGGGCTCTGGACATTGCCCAACAAGCTGGTGGGACTTGGGGTAAAGGAAAAGATGTGAATTAATGTCAGAGTGTCCATCTGTTGGTCAGAGCTGCTTGATGGAAGAGTCCTCTGGCTTCTTCCTGTGGTTAAGGAAGAATTGGTTGGCTTTCCCCTCTCTGTCCCTTTTGCATGGTTCCCTTCTGTGTTTGGGTTTAAGGTGGCCAGTGTGGAAGTGGGAAGGCCTAGAATGGTTTGAGGAAACAATCTAAATAGAAATCTCATTATATAGTTGAAGAAGGGATTGGCTCCTTAGATGTATAGTTTCTTATTGGAATCAGCAGCCTGTGTACTTCAGAATTCCATGGCCTTTTCAAGAAATGGTACTTTTGTTTTTGATGTTGTTTGCTTGGTTTTTGCCTACCCTCAAGTGAATATTTTAGGAACTTAGAATGTATTTTAGTTTAAAAATCTAATGTTTTACCTAAATGTCTCTATTCTTTACATTTTTGTTGCAAAGTGGCAAATTTGCAACCTTATGTCTTATTTTCTTTGATGGCTCCATTCACATTGCTTAGAGAATATTTTCTTCCACTTCTAAATAAAGCAGTTGTTTTTATGTGCATTTCTTTCATTTGCTAACAGCTGACAGGACAGCACTTTCACTGGTGCCTGACTTTCCTTCTGAGCTGCAGTCATTTCCCGATTTTTTGGTATTGTTGTAGTGGGAGAGTTTTTGTTTGTTTGGGTGTTGCTGTTGTTTTGTTTGTTTTTTAAGCTTTTGAATTGACATGTGGTAAAATAACTACTTGGTTGGCAAGAATTGAGCTATTTACTGACCATCTTCTAGACTTGTGGCATAACGTACTAGCAGCTTAATTTTTGAAGTTGGACTTAAACAGTGCTGATTTGCTTTGTTTGGATTTGGGGTGGTGGTAATACTACTATTTCTAAAATTATTTCATACTGTAGAAATAAGGAGTAATGCATTAGTATCTCTTCATAGATTTCTTCTATTTGTACATTACTTATATAGGGTTTCTGTGCCCTAATATTCTGTGAGACTATTTTGTATGTATGTTGGTCTCTTTACAGAGAATTCCTCAGGAAGTTTTGTGAGGCCTCCATGAAGACCAGATATCAAAAAGTGTAGGTGTAAAGTTCGTGACGCAGGAAACAGAATCAAGCCGGTCAGAAAAGGGAAAGGAGAAGGTTTAATCCGAGTTCTCGGGCGAGCCCTACAAGCCCCAAAGTCAGGGCCAGTGAATTCGTGCCAGCAGGGAGGGGGTCACTTCTTTTTATACAGGTGTTTGGTGAGGGGCGGGGGGCATGAGTTGAGGAAGTTCCCGCCTCGGAGGGGTCGGCATGTTGACCTGTTAGGAATTCCTGGGAGGGTCCATTATCTCCGTCACCATCTGCCTTGCGGTGGCATGCATCCACTCCTGGGCTTCCCTTCTACCTGACAGTAGGGAAAACTTCAGTGCTATGTTATTTGTTTGTTTTTTAATCCTCACCCGAGGATATTTTTCCATTGTTTTTTTTTTCAAACAGGGCAGCCAACTTGGTTGCCTCCCAGAAAAATACCTTGGAGAGGGAGGGACATATTTCCATTGATTTTTAGAGAGAGTGGAAGAGAGAGGGAAAGACAGAGAACTATCGATGTGAGAGAAACATGAATTGGTTCGATATTCTGTTGTTTATAGGACATCATAAGGATAGGGGAAATAGAATTATTTGAACTCTGTTAACATATGAAAACATTCAAGTCTGTAAAGAATTTTTGTGAGTTTATTTGAGTCAAACTGTCGACAATTGCTGGGAAGCAGAAGCTCAACAAATTGAGATAATGCTCTGGAGAGTGGGGTTTTTCACCTATTTTACCATCTAAGGTGGAGATGTAAGTGGGTTAGAGGGAATCCATTTGTGATAGATTAGGGAGGGAAAGCAAAGCCTGGAAACCTCTAGGATTGGATAAAAGATTAAATGATAGACACCATGCTTCTTTTACTTAGGTGGGTAAAGGATAGATAACAGTCAACAATTAACACGATAACAATAACAATGAGGGATTTGTAGTCCCCGCCCTGGCGCCATATGTTGTGCCCAGAGGGGTCCAGAAAAAGGGAAGTTAAAAGTTACCCTGACTTTCCAAAGTTCTGTTATCTTAGATTCAAAAAGACAATAGGCTCAGTAAAGATCTAAGTTGATCTTTGTCAGGGAAGATACTGGCCTAGGACATAACAATCCTATATAATAAAAAGGTAATATGCAAATTGACCCTAATGGCAGAATGACCAGAACGACCGCTCGACCAGTCACTATGAGGTACACTGACCACCTCTTGGTCACATTCCCCGGCCGGCAGGCTCTGATTGCCCGATGGCGAATGGGGAACCGGGAGTGGGTGGTGGGGGACGCAGGCAGTGCCAGGCCAAGGCCCACACCTGCGGGTTGCCCCACACAGAGGGCGACCTGCAGCGGGGGCGGGGCCGGCAAGCGGGAGGGAACAGCCAACCTCTTGGTACCTCCCCCGGGCCAGCAGGCTCCGAACACCCGATGGCGAACGGGGAACTGGAGGTGGATGGCAGTGGGGGGTGGGGCTGGCTGTGGGCAGTTGGGGAATATGGCTCTGATCGCAGGCTAGGCCTAGGACCCTACCCATGCACGAAATTTGTGTGCCAGGCCTCTAGTCCACTATAAACTGCTTTTTGATTAAATGTTTTAATTTCAGATCATCCTTTGTGGTTACGTTAGGTCTGTTGAGTTTGCAAGGCTGCCACGCAGGCCTTCCCTGAGTTAGTCAGGTTAGCATGTGGCCCCTTTTAGTCCACAGCGCTTTTGGTTATTTAAAATGTAACTGTTTAATCTAGAGTAGGCATTAGGGTAGGCTTAATCTTTGATTAGAAAGTAGAACTATTTTTTTAGTTGCTTATTTTTAATAACAGATTTTAAGATCCTTGAGTTAAAAGAGTTGTAATTTTATAGTTGGAAGGGATCTTAGATGTACTGTCATCACACATGTTGGACTGGTATTTCCCTCATTAAAAGTTAGAATCTGAAAAAACACCTCACTGAAAGCAATCCAGAACAAAGGTGGAGCAGTATCCATTAACGCGGACAGGTGAATAAGTCAGCTGTTTTGCTGCCATTGGTTTTCTGAGAATTAACTCATTGGCCTGTGTTTTTAATTGTTGCATTTATTTTTTAATTTGGCTATTCTCATATTTTCTTCCATTTGAATCTTTAATAGTATGCATAGGGATCCTAAGTAAATAGTTCAGAAGTGCAACTTGGTTTGAGAAACATTGAATATGAACTTGGTGGATGATTTACAGATATCCTGAAGTGTCTAACTTATCTATCCTTCTCTTTTAGGAAACTGAAAATGGCCCTTCAGCTATGCTAGGTTTATAATGGGAAGCATCACAGTTCGATATTTCTGTTATGGATGCCTTTTTACATCTGCAACCTGGACGGTTTTGCTTTTTGTTTATTTCAACTTCAGTGAAGTGACTCAGCCACTTAAGAATGTGCCCATCAAGGGGTCTGGGCCCCATGGGCCATTCCCCAAAAAATTCTATCCCCGTTTCACCCGAGGCCCAAGTCGAATATTAGAATTACAGTTCAAAGAAAACAAGATTGATGATGTGATAGCTAATCATATTGAAGATGCAGAAAAAGGCAACATGAAATTCTCTTCTGAATTGGGTAAGTGTATTTGATTTTTGCTAGCAGCATGTCAATATCTAATCATTGGAAGTTTAAGTTTTAATTATTCTTTAAGTCATGTGTTGTTCAGGGGATCAGAAATGTATCATTTTTCCCCCACCAGTTTATTTCATTCATGAACTAGCTGAGGTCTTTATGATTTTGCAGAATTAGAGAGAAGTTATATTCTAATATGTCCAATTCTGACTTCAGTACTTTATGAGGACTTGGGAAAAACTAGTAAGGTCCAGAATAGAAAATGAGAAATTAAGTGGTTGGAAAGACAGTAGAACCTGTGGGGAAGGATTTTAATTGCTATTATTATTTAATAAGGGAACATGTTTGACTCTATTTAAGATATTTTAAAAGTTACAGAATTAGTTAAAACAACATAAACCACTGGGTTGAGAAATAATTTGAGATTACTTATATTTAATTTCTGCTTATACTAAGTTGCTGTAAATATTTAATAAATATATAATTTTATAAAATCTGAGTATAAAATAGAAACTTTTCTCTTCAAAAATTCTGTTCAAGGAGGTAGCAAGAATCGACTGTATATGTTTTTGAATATTATAAATCTCAAGTACTGGTTTTAGCAAACTTTATTTTAAGGCATAAATGAGCCATTTTGGTTTTCTTTAAAACTTAAAAGGAATTTAATCTTATCATGGAAGCATAAAATAGTATTTAAAGAAATTGAAAGATGGACAAATATAAAGGAAATGTTAAAACATTTTTGTATCATAGTTTCAAAAAAATAAAATCAGTTTCTAGGATTTAATGATTTTTTTAATACATGAAGTTAAAAGAATTTAAAATGATAGGAAACAGAAGCTAATACTCCATTTTCATAAAATACATCTTCTAATCTTTTTCAAATAGCCATGTAGGCTTTTAAGAGTATTAGTGGGAAGAATTCTTATTCAAAGTTATTTTGGTAAACTTTTATACAGAAGTAATGTTGGGTTTATCATATTTGCCTTAGAAAGAAGCAGTGAGAGAATTATTGCTTTTTGAAGTGACAAACCCAAATTGCCTCACTGAACAACTAAATTCTCAAAAAGATCCTAAAGAATACACAAAAAATCTATTACAGCTAATAAAGAAATGTTCAAACATGTAGAAATCTATATAAATAAGAGCCAAGCGACCAGAATGATGGAACGACCAGTTGCTATGACGCTCACTGCGGTGGCCAACCAGCCTCTAGTGTTTTATAAAAATTTATTTGAGCCAAAAAGAGGGATCAAGATCTCAACGGATGGAGATAAATGCTTCTAAGCATAACAGTTTGCAGTTTCTTTTATGCATTAGAAATTAAGGAAGGAATGTACGAAAGATTACATGGAGGTGGAAGAAAAGCAACTCAGGGATGCAATTACAGGGTACTTAAGATTATGTGCTTTCTTGAGATGTCTGAAAGGGGGCATTTCAAAAGTGTATTAGCCTAGATCAGTGATGGCGAACCTTTTGAGCTCGGCGTGTCAGCATTTTGAAAAACCCTAACTTAACTCTGGTGCCGTGTCACATATAGAAATTTTTTGATATTTGCAACCATAGTAAAACAAAGACTTATATTTTTGATATTTATTTTATATATTTAAATGCCATTTAACACTTGGATTGCGGGAAACGAGTTAAGTCGGCTCGCGTGAATTGCGCGTACTCCGCGGGAGCCGTCTTAACTCGGTTCATATAGATTTGCGGTGGAGTGCGGGAAACGTGTAAACTCGGGCCGATTGTAACTGCGTATTACCAAATATTTGTTTGTTTGCCGTTCACAAAGATACCTACCTGTGTATGCGAACCGTTTCATACCCATTGGGGTAATAGGTATCATAAAAATCCCTTGTAAGTAGAGAACACTTTATGGCGCTGGTCGAGTACAATACCGTTAGGGTACCAATGTATTGTTTTCTCATTTTATAACCGATATCCCTGGATATCTCACCATGCAAAGAGAATAGTTATTGAGAAATACTTCTTGTGTCCGGACGTCTTTAGTTTTGAGTTTTGTGAATATTATTACGTGTTTAAATATTTAAATATATTGTGATAAAGACATTCATATAGAATTTTTTAACCAAATAAAATAAAATCGTTCCGCAAAGTGTTCGCATAATAATTATTTTTTTATATCAGATATCTATCGGAGTACTGCTATTTTCAGTTAGTATTATTTTTATTTGCTTTAACCTAGAATGTCGCAGCATTCAGACTATAGTGATGATGAGTTTTGTGCAGACAAGTTGTCCAATTATTCTTGTGATAGCGATCTTGAAAATGCGAGTACAAGTGATGAAGATTCTAGTGATGATGAAGTAATGGTGCGTCCCAGGACATTGAGGCGACGAAGAATTTCGAGCTCCAGCTCTGACTCAGAGTCAGATATAGAAGGCGGGAGAGAAGAATGGTCGCATGTTGATAATCCACCGGTCTTAGAAGATTTTTTAGGGCATCAAGGATTAAACACAGATGCTGTTATAAATAATATAGAAGATGCCGTGAAATTATTTATCGGAGATGATTTTTTTGAATTTCTTGTAGAGGAGTCAAACAGGTATTATAATCAAAATAGGAATAATTTCAAACTTTCAAAAAAAAGCCTAAAGTGGAAAGATATAACCCCTCAAGAGATGAAGAAGTTTTTAGGGTTAATTGTTCTCATGGGACAGGTGCGCAAAGATAGAAGAGATGACTATTGGACCACGGAGCCATGGACGGAGACGCCATATTTTGGTAAAACGATGACGAGAGACAGGTTCCGACAGATATGGAAAGCTTGGCACTTCAATAATAATGCGGATATCGTAAATGAATCAGATAGACTTTGCAAAGTGAGACCAGTACTAGATTATTTTGTGCCTAAATTTATAAATATTTACAAACCTCATCAGCAATTATCACTAGATGAAGGGATCGTACCTTGGAGGGGAAGATTATTCTTTAGGGTATATAATGCTGGCAAGATCGTTAAATATGGAATATTGGTTCGTTTGTTGTGCGAAAGTGATACAGGATATATCTGTAACATGGAAATTTATTGCGGCGAAGGAAAGCGATTATTGGAAACGATACAAACAGTAGTGTCTCCATACACTGATTCGTGGTACCATATATATATGGACAATTATTATAATAGCGTCGCAAATTGTGAAGCACTTATGAAAAACAAATTCAGAATATGTGGAACAATCCGGAAAAATCGAGGTATACCTAAAGATTTTCAAACAATTTCTTTGAAAAAAGGTGAAACAAAATTTATAAGGAAAAATGATATATTGTTACAAGTGTGGCAATCAAAAAAGCCTGTATACCTGATTTCTTCGATTCATTCTGCGGAGATGGAAGAAAGTCAGAATATTGACAGAACATCAAAAAAGAAAATTGTCAAACCGAATGCACTCATTGACTACAATAAACATATGAAAGGTGTTGACCGGGCCGACCAATACCTTTCATATTATTCGATATTGCGGAGGACGGTCAAATGGACAAAAAGGTTGGCAATGTATATGATAAATTGCGCATTATTTAATTCTTATGCAGTTTACAAATCAGTGAGGCAAAGAAAAATGGGTTTTAAAATGTTTTTGAAACAAACAGCTATCCACTGGTTGACGGATGATATTCCAGAGGACATGGACATTGTTCCAGACCTTCAACCAGTACCGTCTACTTCTGGAATGCGGGCTAAACCACCTACATCTGATCCACCATGCAGGCTATCGATGGACATGAGAAAGCATACGTTACAGGCAATTGTCGGAAGTGGAAAAAAGAAAAACATTTTGAGAAGGTGTCGCGTATGTTCCGTTCATAAATTGCGCAGTGAGACACGCTACATGTGCAAATTTTGCAATATACCTCTACATAAAGGGGCGTGTTTTGAAAAATATCATACGCTAAAAAACTATTAATTTCTATTTGTTTTGATTTATTATGAAAATTTTATTTTAAACTTTAAAAATATGTGTATATTTTTAGGTAATAAGTATTTTTTGGGTTTTTCGTATTTAGTTTATATATATCGAATTATTTATGTACTGAATAGATAAAAAAATGTCTGTGATTGAATAAATTTTCATTTTTTACACAAGAAACCGAAAATTTCATTTCAATTGAACCCATACTTCAAAAGATATAGGCATTTTAAACTAACTCTGATTTTGCGCGGGAAACCTAAATAATTGCCCGCGCCATCTTATATTTTGGCGGGAAATTCACCCGACACCGTAGTGATAGGATGGTTGTGTGTGCGTGCGTGTGTGTGTGTGTGTGTGTGTGTGTGTGAATCTCTCTCTGCTGGTTATCAGGTCTACAGTGTGGAAGAGCCTTGTGAAGCACTGAGCTTTTCACTGACACACTCAGAGAGAGATCATGATTCTCTTTGAATATATATGTAACACATTTATGGGTACAGGAAAAGGATCCACTAGAGTGGGAGAGGTTGAAGAGCAAAGAGATGCTGATTTTATGGTGTCAGGCCAGTGAGAGTTGAAAAACGCTAGGAAGAGAATGGGGAGAATGGGGGTAGACTGTCAGGGGAAGGAGCTGGGAGGAAACATGAGCCCTACCCTGAGATTCTGGTATCTCTTAGGGGTTGGAGGCAGGGGTATAAGAAAAACAACAGTTCTTTCCTCTAGAATCACTGAGATTCAGAGGAACCTTGAAGGGATTGATCCTGGATAAGAGAGATACCATGAAAATGTATGCTCATTCATTCATTCATTTACTCATTCATGCATGCATCCATTCATTCATCTATAAATCCATCATCAGTCCATTCATAGAGCCAATCAGCAAATTAAAGAGGAAACAATTATTCACCCTTATATCTACAATAATAAATAGAGAAACTAAAATGAAAGTAATATTCTCTATTTCTTTTTTTGTTTTAGTGTCTACGGGTATCATAGGGAATATCAGGATCCTTCCTAGGGGAAGATTCTTATGTTTTCCTAGCCTGCAAATATGAGAAATTATAGAAGAAAATGGGTAATAGCTAAGTGGGAAGATTTTTGCATTGATAGTAATACACATTTCTGTGGACTATACATTTATTTTTTTATTTTTTGAGAATTTATTATCTTTATTTTAAATATGATTTATTTAATTGTAAGTCTACATAAATTTTTAAATTACACTTATTATCAATGTCTTCTCAGAGCTGCTTCTTTCTTTTTATAACTGTGCTAATTTATATTAGTTTCTTTTCTGTACAGGAAAGTAAATTGCCTCCAACTTTCTTCTCCCATCAAAATCCTCAAACAATACCCCAAACAAGTAGAGATGTGTCAGATGTCTTACCGAGTCCTACCTGGCTCCTCATCTGAGTCACCATTAACAAGAACAGGGAAGCTATGGACTCTGGCTGCCTCAGGGCCATGGTGTCCTGGAAGTCAAAGGACTTGAGTGCTGTGAGGTGTATCTCACCAGCTTGGCCATTCCTTTTCACCAAGACTCCTGATCAAATGCAAAGCCTCCAGGGCGGAGTGATTATTTCAGTCATGGATATGCTAGCACAGATGAATTAGTTAGAGGACCTGAGCTCAGACAGCACGACCTCTAAGAACACTTGGAGAATGTCTCACTTCTCTGTCCGTGGACTTGACACCGTGGTCCTCGGAGGGCTACAGCTGATACGAGGAAGAGGGCCTGAAATCTCATGCACTCTCTGATTTTAATTAGTGCCTTCCTTTAGAACATATTTTTTTAAATTAATAAATGTATTTTGTTTTCATGCACAGGCAGCATGTCAGCTGAAACACCAGTCACACTGAATATTGACCCCCAGGATCTGCAGGTCCAAACATTCACTGTAGAGAAGCTACTGGAGCCTCTCATAATCCAGGTATTAATTGCATGGAAATTACAACGTAGAGTAACTGCAGAAGAACTTAAAAAATGTGGGAAAAATAGATAATGAACCAAGGGAAGCTTTGATTGTTATAAAATGAATAGCATCTAAAATTATCATTTAAAGTATTGTTAAAATGTAAAAAAGTCTGTATTTAGTAATAATAATAAAATTCTGAAAGCTCGCCAAAACCGGTTTGGCTCAGTGGGTAGAGCGTCGGCCTGTGGACTGAAGGGTCCCGGGTTCGATTCCGGTCAAGGGCATGTACCTGGGTTGCGGGCACATCCCCAGTGGGAGATGTGCAGGAGGCGGCTGATCGATGTTTCTCTCTCATCGATGTTTCTAACTCTCTATCTCTCTCCCTTCCTCTCTGTAAAAAATCAATAAAATATATTTAAAAAAAAATTAAAAAAAAAAATTAAAAAAAAAAATTCTGAAAGCTCTCCCCCCGATTCTCTTTTAAAAGCAACAGCAGTAATAATATGTATATGTAGTTTTCAAAGCACCTATATATGTAATATATTCTCTGGTTATATTGGAAAACATTCCAAAAGAAGTTCATGATCTTTAAATGGATAGTGCCACTAGATAAAGCTATCAACTTAGTAGCCACATTATAAAAATTCTCACCTTTCCTCATTATTTATCTTCATTTTATATTCCTTTGCTTTTAAGGTTTCACGGATATTACTTACCACCTCGGTGTATAACTCAAAGTCAAAATTACATTTTAATTTTTGGAGTAATTGGTCACAATACTATTATGTTACTCTGATTTCTAAATTCATTTATTCGTAAATCTTTTTTTCTGCTCTTCTTATAGTTACCAGAGCCTTTCCCACCAAACTTGATTTATCTCTAATCTATTTTTTCCTTTCTGGGCACAGGTAAATCACTAGGTCATTTTGCAGGAATGTTCAGCCTGGGATATCTTTCAATCATTCACTTTCATTTTTTTTCTGTGTGATAACTTACAAAGTTGCATCCCTCTGTAATAAATTCCTCCAATGGATCAGAAATATTTTTCCTCAGCAATTACATTTTTATGATTGCAGCTGTAGACATCTGCACTTTATCACTTTCAAGAGCCAAGTTTGGCAATGCATTTATGCAGAATTACGATGAAAAGAATTTACATCTCTATGTTGTATACTCTCTGAAGGAGACATAAACTTCTAGATCATGCTACAGTCATTACATAATGGAAATGTCTATAATCTTATTTGCCACAAAATATGATTTGCTATGTGTCAGATTCATGTTGAATATAAGCTAAAAGAATTGACTTACTCAAAATCCTTTAAGATAAAAATAACAAACTCCTTAGAATATGTTATGTCCTATAAAGTGTTTTTTGTTTTTTTGGGGGGTGGGGAAAGTTTCAAATGTATTTTCTGATGTAAATATATCCCATGTTTTCAGGAGATAAATAGAGAGTTATATCAATAGTAATAAACATTATTCCTCTGGCTCTCACCTCTAACTCTTATAGTTTCTGCTTAGTACAGGCACTCAGGGACCCATCTCAACATTTCTCTTACCCAGCTGTACGGGGTTAAGGAAACAGGATGAATCATACGAGGGCCATGAAAATGTTCACCCCGATGTGACATGTCAAAGCAAGTGATGTGGTCAGTGTGGATGCTGGATGTTTGATCCTGCCCTGTGCCCAGGGGATGGGTACATTCGTGAACAGCCCCAATAACTGTCACCTTCCATGGCCTTCATTTCAGGGGTTTCTTTTTTTGCCACGTCTTCGTTTGCTGTCAAATCACCTTTCCACCCTGGTCACATCTGACGTTATGGGGGGGCGGACCTGGCTTATGGACACTCAGTTACAGGTTGGCAAGAAGCCTGTGAGGCAGGAGAGCTGTGCCTCTGGGCAATAATGGTGAATTGGTCCTGTCACCATCCTCTTTGGGAAACTGACTCCATACTGAGAGTTAAAGCAGTTGGTACCTAGGGTTACAGTTTTATCATTGCAAATGCAAAGCTAAAAGATGCACAGAGGTAGAGACATGGGGAAGAGTTCTAGTGAAGCAATTTTCAAATTCAAGTCCACTAAGTTTCTGCTGTTGAGGGACAATAAGATTAACTGGTCACCAAGGTTTCAATGGATGATTCCAATTTCCAAACCACAGTTTAATCTCAGATTATACTTCAGCCTCTGTGGAGTTTCACAGTTTCCTTGGGCACCGGCCATGCTTGCTTTTCTTACGTAATCGGATTCCCTGGCCTCCTACCTCCTCATCGGTGGCTGAAAGTTCAGAAGAACTTCCGTTGGCAGTAGCATCCAGGGTTCCGGGGATTGCCCTCCTTGTGCTGGAGTAGAGGTTTCCCTGCAAAGCCTCCAAATGTTGGGGTATCAGGTATGACTTACCTGTGCTCCCCAACCAGTCTGTCTGCCAAGCTTTTCCATTTCACCGGCTTCCTTTTGTTGATGGTGGACAGTAACCGCCAATGATGCCCATCGTGAGACTGAAAATGGACACGTCAACGTCTCCGTGCCCCAGCTGCCTCCACAGCTGTGACCTCAAGGTGATGAAAAGGCACTCGGCTCCTCCAGAAGAGGGTAGAACGCCTCTCCTCCCAACTGTGCTTCACTCCGTCACCTGGGCCCCGTGAAGCAATGCCTGCACCTCCAGGCACACAACAGTCCTTAGGAAAACAGCCCCTTCCATCCTCTTTGGGCCCCTCCTCCTTAGAGTCAAATCCAGGCCTGGTGGCTGGAGGGTGAGTAGTTAGTCCTTCCTCCTCCTTTTCTTTCCTCCCGGCTCCTAGGCAGAACCTCTCTGCCACACCCCACTCTCAGCATTGTTCCTTTCTCCCCTCCTTCAGCCGAGGGAAAAACCAAAAAGAAAACAAAAGCAACCATGAATAGAAATTTATGCAAATATAGATGCCTAGATGCCCACAGGGTTCATTTCCTTCTGTTCTAGAGACAGATCTGATGGACTTTCAGGTAGCAGAAGAGGGCGTGCTCTGGCTTTCTAGCCTCCCAGATGATAATTTCCTTTGTTTCTTTCAGTAAAGGATTCAAGTTGCATTTGTTTGTGCTTTTCCCCCTGTCATTTCAGTAGGCAATTTTGAATGAGCATAATGGCATTTACTTAAATTTCCTTGGTTTTATCTCCAAGTTTCTTTTTTTTTTTTTTGGTAGCCTCGATAATTAATCGATTACTAGAATTTATATCAGAATTAATGTTGAAGGTTCCAAGGAAATCTCAAAGTCAGTGTACACACATGTAGTATTCTTATAAATTATAAACAAATATTAGAATTTTGATTCTAACCTTAACAAATAACCTTAAAAGTTAGTAAATTAAATGTTTTTTTAAACACTTATAGGCTCAAGACTCAATGAGTATGAAGATGTTATTTTTATGGTAGAATGAAAACATAAACTTAATTCTACCTCAGTAACATTTTAAACCTTAAGGTGACTCAGTATAGTTGAGTTGATTCCAATAAAGTAAATTCTTCTATTTGTGCATTCTTTTACTGCCTGAAAACTGATCCATTGGGAAAGTTCTTAGGCTATAGTATTTCTTGAGAAACAGATAGCTGAGAAGGAAGCCACTCTTAAAATAAGGGTAAGAAAAACGAGTAGCTAATTGATTAAAATGGTGTGAGTCCTGCTGGAGTATGCGTGGCTGAGCATACAAAGGATGCCCCCTCCCCTGCCTCCCCCCCTCCCCCCACAACCTGGTACCTTGAAGATGAGCTGTGGGCAGATGTCAGTCTCTGCACAGGCTTCACCTCTTCTCAGCTTGCTTCAGGGACCTTTTGTCAGACTGATTTTCTTTCTCCTCATTCCAGAGTTGCTGCCCTGTTGTTCTGGGTTCTCTGACCATCCCAATCCACTCCACTTCTGCTAATACTTTATCTTTCAATCCCAGCTCATCTATTCCCCACAGATTCAGTCAGAATAACCCCACAAATATCCACCTCTAGCTTAGCTGTAGAATTAAGATCTTTCTCTTTTTTATTTTTTTAAAAAATATTTTTATTAATTTCAGAGATGAAGGGATAGGGAGAGAGAGAGAATCATTGATCCGCTGCCTCCTGCACGCCCCCCAGTGGAGATGGAGCCTGCAACCCAGGCATGTGCCCTGACAGAGAATGGAACCTTGACCTCCTGGTTCATAGGTTGATGCACAACCACTGAACCACACAGCCTGGCTCTTTTTAATCTTTTTTAAAATTTTTGGTTAATCTTTACCTGAGGATATTTTTTTCCATTGGTTTTGAGAGAGTGGAAGGGGAGAGAGAGAGAGAGAGGGAGAGAAGCATCAATGTGAGAGACACACATCAATTGTTTGCTTCGTGCACATGCCCCAATCAGGGCTGAGGATTGAACCTGTAACCCAGGTACATGCCCTTGACCAGGAATTGAACTCCCCCTTCAGTGCACAGGCTAATGCTCTAACTACCTAGCCCACCAGTCAGAGCAAGCACGTTCTCTTATAAACTAACTCTATAGAGAGCCAGGTAGTATAGGCTGATTGATAAGTCCAGATCCCCTTGCCCTTTTAGTGGAAAATTGCTAGATTGAAGAGAGCAATTGTGGTTCAGCTGTCTGAAAGGATAGAATAGTCCATGTCTCCCAGATGTGGTCATTTTTACTGTTTGAGGCGTGAAACTACCTTTTATAGAATGCCCTGGGCTGTTTGAGAGCACCCCACTTGTCTCAGGAGATACTCTGCAGCTGACAAATTTATGACCCTAGGGCAGTGATGGCGAACCTTTTGAGCTCGGCGTGTCAGCATTTTGAAAAACCCTAACTTAACTCTGGTGCCGTGTCACATATAGAAATTTTTTGATATTTGCAACCATAGTAAAACAAAGACTTATATTTTTGATATTTATTTTATATATTTAAATGCCATTTAACAAAGAAAAATCGACTAAAAAAATGAGTTCACGTGTCACTTCTGACAAGTGTGTCATAGGTTCACGATCACTGCCCTAGGCCTAGACCAGTGATTTTCAACCTTGGCTGCACATTAGAATCACCTGGGAATCTTTTTAAAATCCTGATTTCTGGGCCTCCTCCTCCGGAGAGATTCTGTTTCTTTGTTATGGGGTGGGACCACAACATTA